AGACCCCTGTGTGGCTGGAGGGGGGCAGGGCTGAGGTGAGCCCCTGTGGGGTGGTGGCTAGTGGGTTGAGGGGGGATTGGGAAACACTGGGGCCTGGCTGAGGCTCCCCCCGATTGCTGTGTCCCTGGATTGCAGAGTCCGTGTGGGGTGAGGCCATGGGGTGCACCTCGGCTGCTCTCACCCTGGCATGATGGGCCTGGCGCCTTCCCTCCACCCCTGGAGCACCAGCTGGCAGGGTCTCCCCTCTGGGCTGGCTCCCCTTGGGAGGCTGGAGTGGCCTCCACACCAGCCTCTCCCCCTCACAGTCCAGGGCAGACTGGGGTCACCCCTGCATCACTTGCTTCTTTGGAGCCACATGGCCAAGAGAGCAAGGGGTGACTTCAGTTTGCCCTGGGCCATGAAATGTGGTGGAGGTGGGGGAACTGAGAGCAAGGACTCCTGGGTTCTCTCTGCAGCTCTGGGATGGGATTGGGGGCTGGTGGTTAGAGCAGGGGTGGGAGGGAGCAAGGGCTGGGATCTAGGACTCTGGGCAACTCCTTTATTGGTGTGTCTCTGTGCTGCCAGGCCTCAGTTTCCCAGCTGAGTGAGCTGACATATGTATATCACTGGTTGTATGGGTTTGTCAGAGCTCCCGACTGCTCGCAGCTGAGGGGATTCCTGGTAGTGTAGGTGTCCGTGACTGCGACGAGGAGTCAGATTCAGACTAACACGGCTACCCCTCTGATACTTGTCCGTGACTGTGTATGTTAGGGCCCTACTACTGCTCACTGCTGGCAGGGATTCCTGGTGGTGTGTAGGTCTATGGCTCTGTGTATGTATGTAGGCCATTGAACTGCTCACAGCTGTGGGAGGGATTCCTTGTGGTGTGTGGACCTGTAGCTGTTTGTGTGTCAAAGCCCTGCTACTGCTCACACAAGTTGGACTCACCAGGTGTTCAGGTAGCTACAAGCCAGCAGCTCCTGGTCCCTTTTGCCGTTCTCTCCAACAGGGGCTGCCGCCGCCATCGTACAACCTTCTATGGCGGAGAAGGGCCCCTGCCCCGGGCTCAATGCCTCCTTGCGCAGTGAGGACTTGCTGAGCGACATGGAGCCGTTGCCCCTCTCAACCCCGACCACACCTGCCCAGCCCTTCGGTTCTGAGGTGACAGCCCAGCTTTATGCTTCTTTGCATCGCAGTCGCCAGGCCGAGCTGGATGCCTGTGCCCAGCTGCGGCCGCCTGACCTGGACATGCTGGCTGAGGAGCTGAGCCGCACCCTGTCGGCTGGGGTGGAGACCAGCGCCCGCAGGAAGGTGAGCAGGGGTGCGTGTGGGACGTGTGGGGTGGGATGGTGGGGTGTGCCAGATGGTACGAATGGCTGTATCTGGCTTCCCTGACAGGGTGGCGAGTCCAGGCATGTGGCTGAGATAGAGAGTGTCAGGTCCCGCTTGCGCACCATGCTGCAGGACTCCCGCGAGCTGCCCCACGGTGAGTGAAGTGTGGGGCACATTCCCCTGCCAGTATAACCAGCTGCCCCATCCTAGAGGTGGCTGCATCTCAGCACTGTGTGAGGGGTCCCTGACTGACCAGTCGCCCCAACCCAGTGGTGGCTGCATCTCAGCGCCAGGCGTAGGGTCTCTGCACATGGAGCAGGTTGTGGGTGGTTTTTGGTTATAGGACTTGATAGGTTACTCTGGGCCACTGCAGATTCCCTTTCACTCCCCTCCGGCTTCACCCAGCTGGGGGGGAGCAAGGGGGATATGCCCAAAAGATGCATTTCCCCTGCTCCCGCCCCCACTATATTCCTCCCTGCTTGCAAAGTGATGTAGTGTGTGGCCTGCGGGGGGCACTGTGGCATTCCCTGGCTCAGCTGAGCACTTAAGTGTGTGTGGGAGGGAAGGGGGGGGGGGCTGCTCTGCCCTACCAGAGCACCAGCCCTTCCTTCCCTCTGACAGCCAGAAAGAGAACCCAGTAGTCCTGGCTCCTAGCCCCTTCTGCTCTCACCTGCCAGCCCCCACTCCCCTCCCAGAGCTGGGGGTGGTCATGCAATGTGTTCTGGGAGGAGCAGGGGCTGTGACACTGGAGCTGGGGCTCCCGAGCAGACTGGCTCAGAGTGTCACTCAGCAGCCAGCCCCTTCCTCTGGCAGGTGACCCCCTCACCGTGGGGACCATGGAGCAGAAGGATGATGATTCCTTTGAGAGTGATAGCACCACTGCCCTACTCACGTAAGTGCTGGGGGGGAGGTTATGAAGCTGCCCCTCCCCAGAGGTGGCTGCATCTCAGTGTTGGGAGAGGGGTATCTATTTAGGCAGGGACCCGGAGGGCTGTGGGTACCTCCCTGCACCAGGGCATGTGGCAGCTTACTTACCCCCTGCCCTGTTCATCGCCTCCCCCCGCCGGGTTCGGTGTTTGGCCTGGAGGAGCTTTTTCCCCGCTACAGCAGCCTGCGACTGGGTGCCCCCCCTGAGCCCGCACTTGCCACCAACCCCCTGCAGTTGAAAGAGGCACTGGCCAAGGAGCGGGCCCGCAGGAAGGTGAGGGGTGGGGCCCTGGGCTGGTCTCTGACATATTTTGTGCCCAGCATGCAGGGTGGATGTGTGTTTCCAGGGTGGGGTGTCCCCCACACTTGTGTCTACCAGCATGTATGCAATCCCCACTCCCTTCACAGAGCTTGCATCTGGCTCCCAGGCCTCATGCTCCCCACCCCTGTGCTTGACCCTGCTGCCCTTCCACAGCTGCGGAGAGAACTCAGGAGTCCTGGCTCCTAGGAGGGCCTTCCCCTCCAAATGCCTAGTGAGTGGGGAGGTGAAAACTGGGGGGAAGCAGAAGCAGCTATTTGTAACCCACTGCCCCTGGGTACTGGCTGCACCCTCAGGGCAAACTGCTAAGGGGTGTTGTGCCCTGGCAGAGATATAGGAGAGCTGGCTTTCAGGATGGGGGGCAGGGTGGACAGGTGCTCCCTTTCTCCTCCATGGGGCTCCAGATAGGACAGGCCTGACCATGCCAGAGATGCAGCAGAACCATTTTCAGAGGTGGGGACAGAGTCTCAGGTTGGTGGGGAATGGTGCCTGGGGCCTGTTCCCTTTATGAGGCACGAGTTCTCACTTGGCCTCAGGGCAGGGACTGGCTGATTCAGAGAGGTGCTTAGTCCTGCTTCGGCACGTGTCCTATGCCAAGTCCTGCTAGCAGCTCAGGGGATTCTCTGGGTTGGAGTTGGTGCTGTGGGTCTAAGCTGTTCCTGTGGGAGCTGCCTGAGGCTGTGGCATGGTACGGAGGGATCTGTGGGGCTCTCCCCCTTCTCAGTACTGACCCCTTGCTTTCCTAACAGCATTGTGAGCGACACGTCCAAGCCCTGCAGAGCCGGGCCCTTGAATTGCAGCAGCAGCTGGCTGCTGCCATCTCTGCCGACATGAAGAAGGACAGTATGATCGAGCAGCTGGACAAGGTGGGCAGAGGCTGTGGGTCAGGAGTGTCAAAGCTGTTCCCCACGCTAGCACAACGAATGCAGAAGTTGGGGGCCCGCAAGATGGCAAGAGCACTCCAAACCTTGCCGCTACAGGCTCTGGTACAAACACTTTCCCCCAGAATCCTAATACCCAGATTTTGGGGAATCTGTTGCCACCATCAAGTGCTTTTGAACCCATAAACAGGGGTGGACGCTTGAAACCAACCCCCGGGGCACCCCAAGTTCTTTTTCCCCAAAAGACCTTGGAAAGGAACAGAGAAAAAAAACAAGCTGCAGTCTGTGGTGGTTGACCCCTCAGTCAGGCATACAGATAGACACAGACAGACCTTCTAGGACACAATAATCCACCGATAGCGGCTAATTAGAAAAAGAGCAAACTTTTATTATTAAAACAAAGCTACAGTTGCAAGCATAGTGCATTGGCTAGATGGAAAGAGCCACCATTTGATATATATACTCAGGGAAATCCCTGGGCTGAAGACTTAGTTACAAAAAGAAAAAACAAGCTCAGACATTATTTCCGCATCCCCAAACAAGGAAAACAATAAATCCTGACAGACTAGCTAAACTTTTCCTTACTTATACATTGTAAAAGAAGTTTGTACTTGGAGAGAGGAGTGTCTCCCGTCTCCCTCAGTACTTGGAAGAAAACTGCTCAGCCTCTCAACCAAAGAACAGAGAGAGAAAACCCCTGTCTTCCAGTTTGAAATTCCTACCTGCATTGTTATTGGCTGACCACCGGATACCTGACTAGACATTAGTTACAGGAGACATTAGTTAACGCCTTAGTCACCAGGTGCTGGTCAGCACTCCTGATTATGATGGGGTGAGGGGCATCATTAGGGTTGGGGTAACAAGGGCTGTGGCTTGGGGGTGAGGGGCATCAGCAGGGCATGGGGAACCCAGGACTGGATTAGCAGGGGCTGTGGGTCAGGATTGAGGGGCACCAGCAGGCTGTGCTCGGGGCGTACTCTGTTGCCCTCTCCTCTGGCAGACGCTGGCCAAAGTGGTGGAGGGCTGGAACCGGCAGGAGGCTGAGCGGACGGAGCTGCTGCGGGGACTACAGGTGGAAAAGGAGGCCGTGCAGCAGGCACTGAGTGAGCAGCGTGAGGTGAGCTGGGCAGCTTGGGTTACTGGGTGGGGGAAGTGGCCAAGCTGCCCGCCCGACACTGCCCTGAACCCTGGTGTGTCTCCCCTTTCAGAAGGCATCGGATCTGGAGGCACAGCTGGAGAAGGCACTGGAGGCCCTGAGCCAGGAACAGGAAGTGGCAAGCCAGCAGCGCGAGGAGATGGCAATGCTGGTAAGTATTGCCTGCCTGACCTGGGCAACTGAGCCTCGAGCCCTGTGGCCAGGGGATGCAGAAAGGGACATCAGTCCTGAGGCAGCTCCCAACATGCTCTGCTCCCCACAGAGCCGGGCGCTGGAGCCCGCGGGGACTGGAGCTTCCAGCATGCTCTGTTCCCCACAGAGCCGGGCGCTGGAGCCCGCGGGGACTGCAGCTTCCAGCATATCCTGCTCCCCACAGAGTTGGGCACTGGAGCCCACTGGAAATGCAACTCCAGCATATCCTGCTCTCCACAGAGCTGGGCATTGGAATCCATACAGACGGCAGCTTCCAGCATATCTTGCTCCCTGTAGAGTGGGGTGCCAGAGCCAAAGAAGACCACAGTTCCTAGCATGCCCTGCTCCCCTCAGTGTGAGGCCTGGTGCCTGCTCTGACTCCCTGCATTTCCCCTGCAGCAGGAGGAGAAGGCAGCACTGCTGCAGAGCTTGGAGGCAGAGCGCCAGCGCGGGCGGGGGCTGCAGGCGGAGCGGGAGCAGGGTCAGTGCCAGCTGGAGACACTGCGAGCCACGCTGGAGGAGCAGCAGGCAGGCTGGGCACAGCGGGAGCGGAAGCTGGAGCAGCGGTGCCAGGCACTGCAGGATGAGAGCGCTGGGCAGCTGGAGCGTGAAAAGGTGAGAACTTGGTCCCCTTCTCTCAACCCTTAGCTGGCCTGGTGCAGTGCCCCTGAGCCCTCCACCCTGGCCTCTTCTGTCCCCTCCCAGCCCCTGTGCCCCACAGCAGCCCCCAGCCAGCCTGGCGTCCTGTCCATGTGACCACCGTCCAGGCTGATTCTGCTGGTTGGGGGACTCTTTTGATGCTCTCCACCTGGCACAGTCTATCCTTGTCACACCCCCTTGGCCCCTCTCCCCCTATGCAGCCTGTCCTTGGATCCCCTGCCTGCCAGATAGGCAGTTCCATCATCACAGCTGTATCCCCCCGCTCCATCCTGCCTTCTGTGCCCTGAATGCCATTTCTGTCTCCTGCATTCCCCTGGGGTCCAATTTTTACTCCACTCTCAGCTCTGTTGGGGGACTGTGAGTTAATGGGTTAGAAAAGGGGGGCTGTGAGCCAGGACTCCTGGGCTCTCTCCCCAGCTCTAGGTGGGGGGGCAGTGAGGGCTGGTGGGTTAGAGTGGGAAAGGGGGCTGGGAACCAGGACTCCCCTGGCTTCTCTCCCCACTGAGAGCAGGCAGTGTGGGCCAGTGGTTAATGTGGGGGCTGCCCCATCTCTTCCCACCCCAGGCGGCCGTGCAGCGGGAGGCCCAACGCACGGCAGATGCCCAGCAGGTCCTGGCCTTGGTGCAGGCTGACGCCCAGCGTCTAGAAAGTGAGCTGGAGGTGGCACGGAGCGAGCGGGATGGACTGCAGATGGAGATCAGCCTGGTGAAGGTACTGGGGCCTGTCCCCTCTAGGGGATACCAGCTTCCTTCTGGCCCTAGGACAGGGATTGGCTGGCTCGGGGTGGGGGAGGGCAGGAATGGGGCATGGGTCTGACCCCTCTAGGGGGCACCGGCTTCTTTCCAGCTCCAGGGTGGGGGTGAGTCCTTGGGGTGACAGAACAGCCCCTCTCTCCACAGGCGCGGTGTGAGGCACAGAAAGCGAAGCTGGAGGCAGAGCTGAAGGTGGCCCTGGAGCAGCAGGTGACGGAGCGGCTGGCCCGGGTGCACGAGGACAGCCTGCGCCAGACAGGTGCCATGCGAGAGCAGCACAGGTATCCCCAATTCCTGCCCCCAGCCATCCCCTTCCCCGCCCTCTTTCCAGTAATTCCTGCCCTCAAATTCCCTTTGGGGCACAGAAAGCGAAGCTGGAGGCAGAGCTGAAGGTGGCCCTGGAGCAGCAGGTGACGGAGCGGCTGGCCCGGGTGCACGAGGACAGCCTGCGCCAGACAGGTGCCATGCGAGAGCAGCACAGGTATCCCCAATTCCTGCCCCCAGCCATCCCCTTCCCCGCCCTCTTTCCAGTAATTCCTGCCCTCAAATTCCCTTTGGATGGGGCTTGTGCTTCCTGCTCAGCCTGGCCTTCCCCGCCCCCACAGGAAGCAGCTGCTGGAGCTGAGCGGGCACCATGAAAAGGAGCTGGCAAGTCAACTGGCACAGTTCCGGGCCGAGCTTGCTGAGCGCGAGGAGCGGCACCGGCACTTGGTCGAGGACTACGAGTTGCGGTACGGGCAGTGCCAGCGTGGCTGGTGACTGAGGGACCACTCGCCCAGCGTGGATGCAGCTACCTCGGGCAAGGCAGCAGCTTACGCAGGGGCTGTGTCTAGACTGCGTCCCTTTTCCGTAAAAGGGATGCAAATTAGACACATCGCAATTGCAAATGAAGCAGGGAATTTAAATCTCTTAAAATAAGGAATAAGGGATCTTTCGGAAAAGGCTTTATTTTCCGAAAGATCCGCGTCTAGACTGGTGCTTTTTTCCGGCAAAGCTCTGAGCCGGAAAAAAGCGGCAGCCATGTTTATGCAAATGAAGCGGGGGGGGATTTAAATCCCTGCTTCATTTGCAATTGCGATGTGTCTAATTTGCATCCCTTTTACGGAAAAGGGACACAGTCTAGACACAGCCAGGGACTCCTGGTCTGGCACTGAGATGCTGCTGCCTCTGGGGTGGGGTAGCTGGCTACACAGAGGCCCCTCGCCTAGTGCTGAGATGTAGCCACCTTTTGGGCATGGGCCAGGTGTGTGGATCCCAGCTCAGTCTGCCCCCACGGAGTGCAGAGCGCCAATGCCACCCCTCTCCACAGGCTGGCCAGGCAGGAGGAGGCAGCGCGGGAGCTGCAGGCTGGGAAGTGGCGGCTGGAGGCCCAGCGGGCAGATATGGTGTCGCGGCTCCAGGCCATGATGCAGTCACATTGGAACGAGGCCCTGCGCCTGCTGACTGGAGATGCCTCCCTGCATTCCCCTGGCAAGGGCTCTCAGGTGGTGAGTGCCAGGGAGAGAACCCAGGTCTCCTGGGCCCCAGTCGCCACTCCTCTCTCAGAGCCAGGGAGAGAACCCAGGTATCCTGCTCTGATTCCCTGCCCCGAGCCGTGGCTAACCTCCCCATCGCTAACCCCTGTTTGTTTCCTCCAACAGCCCCCTGCTTCCAGTGCTGCCCCCCCCTTGGAGCCAGAGTGCCTAGGGCAGCCCCTGAGCCAGGTCCCGCTCGGGAAGCCGGAGAGCTGGCAGGGAGACCCCCGCGGCGCCGGGGACGGCGAGCGGAGCGGCAGGTCCTTGGCCCAGGCTGTTCCCCTGCAGCCTGTCACTCAGCGCAGCTCCCAGCCGCTGGCTCCAGAGCCACAGGGCCTTGAGCGCTTTCTGCCCCTAGTGCCCAGCGGGCGCTTCTCAGCCGAACTAGCCCAGCTCCTGAATCAGAGCGTCCAGAGCCAGCTGGTCTTCCAGCCGCTGGAGCCGCAGCTTGATGACACGGCCGGGCCAGGTACAGGAAGGGCGCAGGGGCTGCAGGGCCCCCATCCACTGTCACCGCCCCCTAGCGAAACCCTGGGGCCAGCCCTGCCCACCAGGGGAGAGTGCCCCCTGCTGAGCCCCTGCCCAACCTGCTCCTTGCAGCACAGTGTCTGTGGGGCATTGGGTTGGCACCTGAGGCTTGAGGGGCAGAGGGACACTGGGCTGCTCTGAGCCCTCTCTTCCCCATCCAGGGCTGAGTTCACACCCCAGCCACCTGGCGGAGCACCCCTACCCTGAGGACGATGTGAGGGCCAGTGACGGCGAGACTTCCCCAAACAGCAGCCTGGAGCATGGAGGGCAGGCGGCCCCTGGACAGATGCACCCAGAGCTGCAATACTACATGGCTCTGGTAGGAGCCAGGCAGGAGGGGTGCTGGCTGGGGGAAGGGGTGGGCAGAGCGGAGGGCAACCAAAATGATTAGGGGGCTGGAGCATATGACCTATGAGGAGAGGCTGAGGGAGTTGGGTCTGTTTAGTCTGGAGAAGCGAAGAGTGAGGGGGGATTTGAGAGCAGCCTTCAACTTCCTGAGGATGGAGAGAGGCTGTTCTCAGTAGTGACAGATGGCAGAACAAGGAGCAATGGTCTCAAGTTGCGGTGGGAGAGGTCCACGTTGGATATTAGGAAAAACTATTTCACTAGGAGGGTGGTGAAGCACTGGAATGGGTTACCTAGGGAAGTAGTGGAGTCTTCATCCCTAGAGGTGTTTAAGTCCCGGCTTGACAAAGCCCTGGCCGGGTTGATTTAGATGGGATTGGTCCTGCCTAGAGCAGGGGGCTGGACTTGATGACCTTCTGAGGTCTCTTCCAGCTCTATGATAAGGGGATGGTTTGAGAACATGATCTTGGTAACTAATTGACCATTCATTATCAGTGGGAAATAGGTCAATGGAGGGATGATAGGAGTTACTATAGAGAACTTTCTGGGTGTCTGGCTGGTGAGTCTTGCCCACATGCTCAGGGCTTAGCTGATTGCCATATTTGGGGTCGGGAAAGAATTTTCCTCCAGGGTAGATTGGCAGAGATCCTGGAGGTTTTTCGCCTTCCTCTGTAGCATGGGGCACAGATCACAGCTGGAGGATTCTCTGCATCTTGGGGCCTTCAAAGTATTTGAAGGCTTCAATATCTGAGACATAGGTGAGAGGATTATTCTAGGAGGGGTGGGTGAGATTCTGTGGCATGCACTGTGCAGGGGGTCAGACTAGATGATCATAATGGTCCCTTCTGACCTTAAAGTCTATGAGCAGGGGGACAGGGTACTGCGATTTGGTTTGGGGCGGTTGTGACCAGCTCACTGTGGGGTGAGGCACGGGGACTACAGGTTTCAGGGGGGCCAGGTAGGGGGTACCTGGCTGCACACTTACTCCTGTCTCTTTTCTCAGCTCTTGGAGCAGGCATCAAGCGACCCCCAGAGGCAGGAGGGGCCTCTGAGTGAGAGCTCCTCCTGCCCCACAGCGCAGCCACATGCCAAGCCAGGTGAGGGCTGCGGAGGAGGGACAGGGGCAAGGTGTCCTGTTTATATGGGGCTGGAGGTGCGCAGGGGAGATCCTAACTCAGCCTGTGCCACCCGGATTCCCCGATTCCCCAGCTGCTCCAGGCCTGCTTCCCATGGGGGCCTGGTCCAGTCCCCATGTAATCCTTGTCTTTTCTGCCCATAGGCTTGGCCCGGGAGGACTCCTCAGCCCCGTGGGAGACGCTCCGGCCTCTTGGCCCCCAGCGTGTTCCCCCCACTGCCACTGCCGTGCACAAGACCAAGGTGACACTCCCCAGAGCCAGCTACAGCCAGCGGAGTTTGGAGCTTCCCAGCCCCTTGCAGCGCCCAGCTGGTGAGACCCCCACCCCCACATGTTGCCTGGCCAGAGAGGGCAGCCCCACCTGCC